GAGTGGACTGCAGTTTCGACCTCGCATCGGTCTTATCAACACCCTCAGCGGGAGTCGGACCGCAACAGTGCAGGATGGGAGCTTTACACGCTAACCACTCTGCTACACTGCCGCGAGCGCCTTAATTCGAAAAATAAAGTATAGTAGCCGATTGTAATAGCAGATATACATTTGCTTCATCGACAATTCCACCAAAAGAATATGATATGGCAAAAAGGCCTGGCCTTCCTTGAAAATTCACATTTGCCCTGTTACCTGCTGCAGTGTAGCCGAGGCTTAGCTTGTCAAGCTCCCATCCTGCACTGTCACGGTTCGACTCCCGCTGGGGGTGTTGATAAGACCTATGCGAGGTCGAAACTAAAATCCACCCTGGATAAGAAGAACTTTTGGGAAAGCAGGGCTATGTGAAATTTCAACGGAAACGTCAGCTCAACTCATATCATTGTGTAAAAATTCTTCTTCTATCAGTACTTCATCACCTTAAACGAAATTGGGTGAATACATCTCATATTACTAATTTACTGGTAGTCACGAAAACAATACTTAGCTCGAAAAATAATTTTATATAGCCTTGCTTCTCAAAAGGTATTCACATTCGAACTAAAGTGGACTTTAGTTTCGACCTCACCTTGGCCTCATCGGCAACTTCAGTGGGACTCAAATGTAGTTAACGTGTCAGAACTATACGCTGCACTAGCACAACGCGGGTTCGATTCACGCTGATGGTGATACGATCTGAACGAGTCTGAAATTGCAGTCCAGTTGAGCCTGAATGAGAATCCATTTCAAGAGCAAGGTTACAGGGATTTTAATTGCCTCATGAGGCCTACTTATCTTATTTTGGGAAGAATTAATTCGAAAACGTACTGAGTTTTCGTCTGCCATCTGTTGATGCAAGCTTGAGGTTGTTGTAAATCGGAATAGTATGATAAACGAATTCTCACCGCCAAAGAAGACAGTTTGGAGGACTGTGGAAGACTGAAGGTATCAGTGATATGGAATAGCTAATCAAGCTGAATCTGAGCCTAACGTTTGCCGTAATCAACCTACAAATTGCAGCATTACTATCCTTCACATGAAGCAAAATTTCAGCTCAACAATGCTGCATCAAAAAACCGTCGAAAATCAAATGTTCATTGTACACATAATGGCTACGATTTGGGACACTTTATTTGGTTAAGTGTCAATAAATGATCTTGCAATAGCAGTATGCGTGAGTATATATATAAAAGTAGGTACAGATGAAACAATCTACAATGGTGGTTTTGATGCAATTTCGAAGTAGGTTTAAAATATGATTCATCAGAATTAGTAAGAGCATTGATATGGGCTAAGGCTTTTCCTTTAATTGAGGGGTGAGACACCAATTAAATCGAGAATCCAGTGATCGGATGCACTTCCTCATCTGTTCATAGTCATGAGCACTCAAAATTACATGGTACTTGAGAAAGCCTGATTTAGGAACCTTCCTGTAGACCCGGATACTACACTGGTACCTGTCACAGATAGCCTTTATCCTACGATCAGATGGATCTGTGATAATTGCCTCTAGATTTGTTGTTTCAGCCAGATAAAAACAATGACTAATAAGTGATGGATCAGCAGATTTGTATCCTCGAACTATATTCAGGCTGCTATGAGGCCTCTCTCTCTCAGATGTTAAAGGCTCATTCAGTCTATTTGGGTAGGCAGGAATCTGGGACACAGTCGAGTTTGGAGATCTGGTACCTCGAAAAGTCAATAGCCCAGTCGAAGCTGCCAATCCTGTCTCTCCGTCAAGGCTCGGAAGTGTGAGAAGTGTTTGGGTAACCGGAACAAACCCATTTACCTCGCTCAGGCTGCTTGGCAGCCTATGCTGTGGTGTCCAATAATTTAATTCATCAACTGTTCGAGATTCTGTGTTATTGGCACCGCAGAATCTTCTGATGACGCCCGGCATGGGACTTGCCTCTTTGGCGTCTCTAATGGTCGGCTCGTCGGAGGTGGCCTGATGAACATTAGCCCCTTTGTTGCCCTGTAGTTCCATCTGGTAGGCTGATGAGCAGGGAACGGACGAAAGTAATTGACTCTTTTGGTCGTGCCTTGGCGTCTGGACAACTGTCAATTGGGGCTCTTCAACCGATGTCTCGTTTGTTCGCAGGCTCGACGAAGCCAAGGGGGTCGAGGCTATGTAGTGTTCGTTGATGGAGTCTGACCTCACAGGGACCCTGGGACAGTATTCCGGTGACAGGGGTTGGGACTCATGATGCCATGGCTGGATCGAGCAGTGGTTCAGGGGGTTCGGAGGTTCTGCGAGACCATCAGACTTATGGACCCTGATCTGAAGAGACGGCCCAGGCTCTGAAACTCGCCTGATTTCTGCATTTAGCATCAATATTTTCGCTAAGTGACTATCTGGCTCTGCAGACGGCAGACTGGTCGCCCTGCTTTGGCAACACTTTTCAGTAGGACCAGATGGCAGTGACTCAGATAATGGGAGATTTTCAGTCGTCTTTTCCGACAGGATGCTGGCACGGTACCGATCTCTGAGCCGAAAAACTCTTTGAATTCCTTTGCTATCGCTTTCATCAGCCCCTTCGCCATCGCCATCGTCATTGCCTTCACCATCAGCATCCTCATCAACAACGCCCTCACCATTAGCATCATCGTCGCATCCAGTGGAAGTAGTGGCCTGTCTGCCAAAGTTGTCCTGGGAGGCGACATCATGAAATGAGAATGTTCTTGTCATCGAAGCGGTCAGGCAAGGGTCATGTCGAATGGGCTGTTGAAGCTGGCAATTGGTGCAAAGACGTGTCGCACAGTGCGTCTTTGGCAGTGCGTCTGTTGAGAGATCAACGATTTTGCCTTGCTTGGGTGAAGTTAAGACGCCGATCTGATCTCCTGATTGTCCTGAATAAACACTCGGCAAAGGGAGAGAGTCGACATTTGGGTGGGCCAACAAAGAGGCCTCTTCACAGTCAAGAGTCATAGTGCTCGAGTCGATCGTGGTGATTGGGTTCAATGCTTTGTCCTGTTCTGCTTGCTGCCCTACAGAAACATAAGTGGGTGAAAGACTGTATCTTGCTATCGCGCTCCGGGCAGTCCTGGAGTCCGAGTTAGACAGTTTTTGATTGGGCGCTTCGCTTCTAGTGGCATCATTTTTACCGAATCTCCTGACGTCACCAGCATCGCCCGAAGAGGTTATCACCCTTTTCGGCTTTTGAGGCAGCGCATGCATTTGTCGTCTGGGCTCCTTTTTGCCAACAGACAAAGAGTCCGAGTCGTCGCCCGGGATGGGCTTCTTCTTACTGGGACCACTGGTCAGGGAGACTTTAGACAATCGAGAGCTTGGGGCCTTGACGGTTGGAACCGGTTTGACAGACCGTGGAAGGCACTTGGTGGTGGATAGTTCGTTGTGTGAATTCAGGCTGGAGATTGAGCTGTTGATCGTTGCCGTTTCGTCGAGGTGGTCCTCACTATCCCCTAACAGAGGCCTTCTTGAAGCCGTACTGGAGGTTGAACAGAACTGCTTCGACAGAGAGCTGACCGGAGTGGAGGCCTCCGAGTAGGCGTTGCTGTACTGCCTGCTTTTGTCCACGTTATCACCTGAAGCTCCCACTACCTGGCCTCCAGGACTTTGAAAGAGCGGAGAAGGAGCCGTCCCTTCTAACATATCAATTTGGCAGTACGCACTTCTTCTGCTGCTGCCGTGCTCGTCTGGAGCCTTGGCAACAGCCCTTGCTCCCTTTTCTGTGCAAAGGTATTTTTCTTCAAACCTCAATGATTTAGCAGTGTGTCTGGCACGAAGGACAATCACAATTGGTGAGTGAATGTCTTTCTTGGTATTAAAGACTCTATTCAAAGTTTCTTCCTTGTTATGGCAGCAGGTATTGTTCCCCATAAAGCCACCATGGGTAGAATGCGGTTCTTCGATTGTTATAGCGCCTCTCTCAATAAAATATTCCGCAGTCACTTGTTCCAAACGACAGGTTTCCACGGCCGCGCTATCCGAATCTCCACGTGAGTTCCGGCTATCTAGGTTCTCGCCGATGAATTGACAAACAGGTCTTGCACGCCATTGAGAATGTGTTTTGCGCATATTCTGGGCGACATTTTTAGACGAACAAATTCTCGAATTTTCATTTTTAAATTTTATGGGAATCGATTTGTAGGAGCTAGCTCTTTAGGTAAGGCTGAATACATTATGCTTAATTTCAACAATGGGCTATCGCGCTTTAAACCATTGTGTGTCAAATGTGAGGAATCTGAAAAAATGGAGCAGTATGGAGATAAAATAGTTAGCGCCGTAAGTGTAGTTCAAGAGGAAATCTGGTGAGATATCCCTAACCTCAAACTAGCCAAAAAGCACCCAATTAGACCAATCATGGAGTTGGAAGCAATCTCTTGTAACCTGCTTCTCTAGTATGAGTATGGCTGAAGATACGAACACGCTGAACCTCCCAAATACAGGATATAGTTATATAAGCATGTTTTGCATAAGGGTATTGGCAAATCAGTGTTTAACTGATTACCATTCTGATTAGAAGTGTGGTAGAAAGATTTGTACATGTTGAGTTTACTTCATTTTGAGTGAAAATGTTGGGTGAAGTGATTCGAAGGTCGGTTCCACCAGAAGAAGACGATGGATTTCTCTTGACCAACTGTCGATTGACTTTACTGGAAGATTCATGCTGACGCTGTGTCCGAGGTAATCTACTTCGATTCTGGTGAAAAGGTGTTAAGCTTTCGTCCGTCATATGACAAACATCATCAGAGCAAGGTATCATCATCACAACCTA